AATGTACAATTTTGTGGTGGCCATCTATGCTGAAATGCACTCAGTCTTAGCTCCACAAGGCCGTCTGGAAACAGCGAGGAACCAGCCCCTGCCACGTCGGCCCCGTCCCCTGGGTGCATGCTGGGGAGGTGTCACCCTTTGTGAGGAATGAAGAAATGCACCATCGCCTGGAAGTGGCCAGCAAATGGTCCTCGCCTACTTCACATATCTGGCTTGATGGGCTCTGGGGGAGGGGTTTCAGCAGGCAGTGGGGTGCTCTCACAGCCCCGAGAGGTTGAGCCGGGTGGTGTGAAGCTCGCCAGCTTTGCACTTTGCTGCCTGCTGAAACTGGGCAGGCTGGGGGCTAGGCAGCATTGCACTTCTCATCAGATTCGTGCCACCTGGCTCAGCTCTTGGCGCTGTGAGGAGAGCGCCCTGCTGTCTGCCGAAACCGGGCAGGCTGGGGGCTGGGTGGCATTGAGCAGCTAATGTTGACTCTCACGCTGCTCATGGCATCCCCTCCCCCAGAGCCCACCAAGTCAGATATGTGAAGTAGGTGAGGGCCATGTGCTGGCCACTTCCAGGCAATGGTGCATTTCTTCATTTCTCCCGAAGGGTGACATCTTCCCAGCTGCGTTTCTTGCCTGTTTTTCTCCCTCATCTCAAATATTTTCCCACCACTCTGTACTTAGGAAGGAAGGAAGGAAAGAAGGAGAGGGAGGGTCTTAGGGAACTCCTGCCTTAGTCCTGCCCTGCTGCCCTTTCACCATCCCCTTGCCCCCTCCTCCTGGCCTATCTTGGGGGTCTCCCATCCTATTGCTAAGGAAGCTTTGAATACAAAGCCGGGTCTCCTCCCATGGAGAGGGAATGGGCCTCCCTCTGACTTTGCCCTCGTACCCATCATGAACAACCTGGCTAAGGAGAGCAAGCACAGCATCAGCAGCCTTGAGGAGGAGGTAAGTGCAGCTGGGCGACCACTTGGGGAAGTGGGGCTGGGCTTGGTGCCGCGGGTGCTCGGGGGCCAGGCTGGGCATTTGACCTCTGCTGTCCAGGGCTCCGGGCAGCCCGCACCACCATCCAGCCCCCCTCCACATGGCCTGAGAGGAACAGTGAGGCTCCTCCAATGGACCATGCCTTGGCACTTGCCCCAGTCCCACCCCCTTCTGCCAGAGACCCTCAGATCTGTCCCACTCCTGCCCAGGCCCCCTTGATGTGAATGGTGTAGATCTGGCCATGCCCACCCAGTAGGCCACACCCACTCCATCCACGCCCACCCAGTAGGCCACACCCAGCCTGGCCACACCCACCTGCCCCCCTGAGGGCAACTGCAATGCTGATGCGGCCCTCAATGAAATTGAGTTTGACATCCCTGGACTAGAGAGTTATGACAGATCTTTTCAGCACCTTGGACAGATCACTTTAAGTAGAGTTGTCTCGGCAACTTAATCAGCTTTATGAAGGCTCCCTTATTCCATCCTCGGAAGGGTTACCGTAACTATGTCTACGACTCCTCATAAAGTAGAAGACCATCTAGCAGCTGCTATCTGAATTTGATAAATGTGTTAGAGCCGTGGTTTGAATGATCCTTACTAGACATCAGCTCACTAGATGGTTTTATTTTTATTTATTAAATGTATATGCTGTCCATCTGACGAATATTAACTCTGTCACTTTCCACCCTAGTATCCTCAGGGTCACAGATTGGGTCAAGTTAGACAATATGGTGGTCAGGTTACCACAGCACAGTGACCATAATCAGGTTTGGTTTCATTGATGGCTGAGTTCCTATGGTTTGCCAAATCCTATAATGGGATTATACTTTCATAATCGCTATAATCATGGAAAAGGTTATACCCAAAACAGATCAATATTATTATGACTTCCTACGATGGCTTGATTAAAACAATTTATTAAGATAATAAAGTACAGCTCCCCTCCCCTAAACACTGAACCAAACTGATTTTAAGCTAGTTTAGTATAAATGGCACCAATCCAATCATTCTGCATGTCTGCTCTAAAAATTCAGTACAGTGAACACACATATCTTGATTTACAGCATAAGCTCAATGTCATCAGTGTCCTATCTGCTTCATTGGAGAATGTTTCTGGGAGTATCTATGTACTCTGTGTATGTGTGTCTTTCGAAGGAGAGGTCTACCACCCTAGATAGGACCTGAGGTGCAGACTTTGCAAAGAAACAATCCAACACATAGTGGCAGGGTGTAAGATGCAGGCAGACAATGGATGGCACAACCAATGAGCTAGCATTGGGGACAGGAACATCTACACAGTGTATAGCTAGACTCTCTCCGGGTCTGGATGGGAGACCCTAAAGAAGGTTGTGCAAAATAAGATCTTATGAGATTTCCAGATCCAGACAGACAGGCAGATACTGCCCAATCAACCAGGTAGACGAAGGACCTGAAGACAGGGGTGGTGATAGCATTGCCAGGTGACAGCAACATCAGGAAGAAAGGAGTATGTATGTATTATATGCAATTACATAGCCTTGTAATCCTTTATTTATGGGCATCTGCGGGAGGCAAGTGACATGATGTGCATTGTGTCATTGCAGAAATAATACAACATGACATAATTTCTCATGACATGCATGATACTACAATGGCTTTTGCCAAATGCTGATAGGTCTAAGGGGGTGCCGTTAATCCAGCGGAGGTATATCAAGGGGATTTTTATACCCTAAGGCTTTCTTTCTTGCTTACTGTTCCTGGAGCATCACAGCCAATATTCTATTTTTAGCACTTTTCCCCCCTTTATTTTCTACAATAACGCAACCTCAATGACCCATGAATGCATTAAGACCCCTGCTCCCTGGAGGAGCCTCTCTTTTGAAACTAAAAGTGTGTGTGGGGGGGGGGGGGTTGTGAAAATTACAGCTGAGTCAAAGGCTCTTAAACCAAATTCTGCTGTGAGCTTTTCAAGGGAACTTTTTTCATAATGTAAAGGAGAAAATGGAAAAGTCAAAAGGCAGCTTATTGATGGAGGATAGTAGAAGAATTACAGAATATTTAGAGCAGGGGTCCCCAACCCCCAGTCCGTGGACCGGTACCAGGCCGCGGCATGCCAGCAACCGGTCCGCACAGACAAGCAAAGCCCCATCCGTGGGATGCAGGCAACACATAAAATCACGCACTCTCCGGTTCGTGGAAAAACCTCTCTCCATGGAACCAGTCCCTGGTGCCCAAAAGGTTGGGGACCTCTGATTTAGAGGTTCAGAATTGAAAATCTCCCATAGAAACGGAGCCTGCTCCAATCTTTAACATCCGCCCCCTTTCCCACTTCAGTTACATAAATGCAGATGGCGTCTTTTCCCAAACATCTCAAGATACCGCGCAAGGTCTTCTGAATGGCACCAGGGCAAATGAGGAAACTTTGGGGTGCATTACAGTTAGTTCTTGACTGACGGCCACATTGGAGCCCAAGATTTCTGTTGGCTAAGCGAGACATTTGTTAAGTGAATTTTGCCCCATTTTACGACCTTTCTCATCACATTTGTTAAGTGAACCACTGAAGTTGTTAAATTGGTAACGTGGTTGTTGAGTGAATCTGGCTTCCCCAGTGACTTTGCTTGTCAGAAAAATCACGTGATGCCGGGACGCTGCAATCGTCATAAATGTGAGCCAATTCTCAAGCATTCGAATTTTGATCACGTGGCCACAGGGAAGCCGCAAAGATTGTAAGCGCGCAAAAAAAGGTCACAAGCCCCCTTTTTTTCCAGTGCCGTTGTAACTTTGTACTGTCACCGAATTAACTGTTGTAAGTCGAGGGCTACCTGGATTGGACGCACAAGGACTGCAAAGGTTCAACTCAGAATGACCCTTGCAAAATGACCCTTGAGAATGTTCCAGGTGCTACAACACTTTTGGATTTGTCATTATGGAGAGCAAAACTTGAAAAAGAAGACAGCCCACGTTTTGTACAGTGTGGCTTCTTTTATGGGAAGGAAATACAGGATAGCAAGAAAAATAGGGGTGAGTAAAGAAAGCTTTGAAGTGACAGGTGCATGGACACAATTCACAGAGGAGAGCAATTGCACGGTTCAGAATTTCAAACAAGAAAGTGTTTGTGGAGGTGAAGGTATCCTTAGCAAGCAGCAGCACCTTGCTAACCTTGGCTGATCTCATAAGCCAAACCTGGTTAGGATTTGGGAAAGGGAAATACCTGGGAATTCTAGTGGGAAATTGAATGAAGAATCAACCTCAATTTATTTCATGCTATACAAAGTCAACTATGATTAGAGCATCATAGATCTTCTTCTTCTTCTTGTGCCATATCCATTATCGGATGTTGGCGATCATGTTGGCGATCCTGTTTTTATCAGCAGCCGCACGAAAAAGTGCTGCTGAGTTTTGTCCAAACTAATCCTTTAGATTTTGAAGCCACGATGTTCTTCTTCTGCCTGGACCTCGTTGGCCTTCCATCTTTCCCTGGAGGATTAAATGGAGTATGCCGTATTTTTCTGGGTATCGCATCACATGTCCAAAATATTCTAATTTTCATTTTTTAATTGTTTTGATGATTTCCCTGGGCTTTCCCAGGCGGCTGATCACCTCCTCATTTCTGATCTTGTCAACCTAGCTTATACGTAACAGCCGCCTGTCAATCCACATTTCAAATGCTTCTAGTCTCTTCAGGTGGCCTTCTGTCAGAGACCAACTCTCTACTCCACAGAGCAGGATAGAAAATATATAGCATCATAGATAGGCTCAGAAAACAAAATAAAATGACTTATTTGCATGGGTGCCTTCATCAAGAATTGAGCTTAATTGCTGAGTACCTTTAACTTTCTAATCTACTATAGAAAACATGGCTTACATAGCTAGGAAAGAGAAGCCAGTTCTGAAATAAAGCTAACCTAAATGTAAGAATCTGCAAATCTCTTTGCTCTGGTGTTATGTTTCCGGCCCATCTGATTTCTTATTTTTTACAAAAAGCAAAGCAAAATCAAATGGGGGACAATCCTTATCCTGAGGGGTGATTAAGTTCTCCTTTCATTTCAGGGAGAGGACATCTTGGACCGCAGCTCTGAGTTGATCTACACGGGAGAAATGTCGTGGATATATCAGCCTTACGGACGAAGTCAGCAGCGCGTCTTCTTCCTTTTTGATCACCAGATGGTTCTTTGCAAAAAGGTAAGGACACGTTTGAGTCTCCGCCGGATGATCAGTGAATTTGGGTTTAAGGCAGGGCAAGTCAACCTGTATCCCTAAGTTGTACTGGGTCCTGCAAAGCCTGTTTGGCAGCTGTCTTTGCAGAACAACAGAATTGGAAGGGACCTTGGGGGTCTTCTAGTCCAACCCCTTGCTCAAGCAGGAGACCCTGTACCATTCCAGACAAATGGCTGTCCAGTCTCTTCTTGAAAATCTCCAGGGATCTCTGTTGCTCTTCTCTGCACTCTTTCCAGAGTCTCAACATCTTTATATTGTGGCGATATATAAAATCTTGAGCCACGGAAGTGGTTCAGCCCTTCCAGGCAGAGCAGACAGGAAATATGACCAGATGAGTTTGTTCTACTTTTTTGTAAGACTATCTTAACAGAATCTTGCTAATCTGATTGTTCAAATATTCCCCCGTCTCTTTTACAGCCTGAGAAGTTAGGGAGGCTTCTTTGAATTTCTTTCTTTGTCTGTAATGCAGCTATGGACCATGTCCTTGCCTCTTAAGGTCATTCCCACATACCGTTACAAATGGTCATTGCCAAAATTGTCAATCCTTTGAGAGCTAATTCCCTTCTCCAAACAGGATTTGAGTCAGATCAAAACATTTTGATTGTGCTTAGTTGGGTGATGTTGTGGTGCCTTTATAGAGCCTGAGGTGATCTTTTCTTTTAAAAAAATGTTTTTTCCTTCTCCAAAAAGATGGTCACCCATCTTAGGTCAAAGACCAGCCTTCCTTCTTCTTGTTGCTCAGTCACTAAGTCTTGTCCGACTCATCACAACCGAATAGATCATAGCCCACAACCCCCCCCACCTCCCCTGTCTCCCAGGGTTGTTAGACACCTTCTGCCCTGATGGGCTAATCTTTGGGCGTCATGTCTTTTAACTTTTGGGGTGTCCATTGGGTGTTCTTGGCAAGGAGGCTGGAGTGGGTTGCCATTTCCTTCTCCAGTGGGCCCCATTTTGTCAGAACTCTCCACTATGGCCTGTCCATCTTGGGTGGCCCTGCACGGCTTAGCTCATAGCTTCATTGAGCTGCAAGCCCCTTGGCCACAACATGGCAGTGATCCGTGAAGAGGCCAATCTTCCTACATCCTTCCAGAGATACACCTGAAACACACGTTCATTGTAAGTGAGAAAGGAAAGTACACCTCTACACATTGGCTGTTTATTTATTCTCATAAGCCACTTTCTCCAGGAAAAAAAAGACGGAAGGAAGGAAGGAAATGGTGGGAGGGAGGGAGGGAGGGAGGGAGGAAGGAAGGAAGGAAGGAAGGAAATGGTGGGAGGGAGGAAGGAAAAGGGAGGGAGGAAGGAAGGAAGGAAGGAAGGAAGGAAGGAAGGAAGGAAGGAAAAGGGAGGAAGGAAGAAAATGGAACGAAGGGAGGGAGGGAAGAAGGAAGGAAGGAAATGGAAGGAAGGAAGGAAGGAAGGAAGGAAGGAAGGAAGGAAGGAAGGAAGAAGAGATAGAATATGTGAGTATCAAATACAAGCTAACATTTTCAACAAATAATCAGGAAACTTTTGGCTAGATTCTTGCTTGTCTGAAAATTTTAGAGGGTAGATATACCGCCTTCTCTTTCCATTGTGATGAAATTCTGTGGTTGTGTTAGAACATGCCCTGAAATAGGTGTCCTACTTGTAAACGGTATACACATAGCATTGCAAAGTTTATAGTAAAAAAAATGCAGTAATTGTATTGGGAAATGTACAGTAAAAGTTATGACCATGAGGAGAAAATGCATTCAAAAGCTAGAAGATAGAGACCTTTTTTTTTTAATGAAACCTCAAAGCCTCAGCAGTCAAGAATATCTTTCCAACTTGGACACTGAAAGCGGCCCAATTTATATTGATCTGTCTATCATTAGATTTATTTCCAGAAAAGTATGATGAATGTGTAGTTTTGGTATCTGAAGCAGAACATCCAGATTCAGTCATAGTTTTGTTCCATAGAGCATCAACCTTGTGAACGCTCAAGTTTCCTCTTTCTGCTATGAGTTTAAAATGGACAGTGATTAATATTTATATTGATATATATGTATCGGCATAGGTATATACAATATGCGCGCGTGTGTGTGTGTACGTATGTATGTATGCATATAGTAGCATGTATATATATATGTGTGTGTGTTATGTGTGTTTATGGGTAGATATATACTTTTTTTTGAGAGCAGGCAACAAAATTTCATTTTTAATGTGGGCCAGTGTGCTCATAGTAAAATTGACAATCAAGGATATCTTATCTAGCTTAAAAGATTCCTTGAACGGCAATAGGTGGTTTTAGATGAGCTAGTTGTCAACGCTGCAAATACTGTATATTCTTGCTTTGACAACATGCAGAGCTGTCTGGCATTTTTATAGTTAAACCAGGCAGAAGGGGAAAAGAAACCGGAAGTAAATCACATCTTCCAAGTTGATTGGAAGATGTGAACCATGACCCCAAAGAAAGGTGGGAGGGAAATGCTTAGAAATATATGCATAGCGGAAAA